GAGTGCTGCTATGTGCTTCCCATAGGAGAAGCAAACACTGGGGTTTCTGACGAATGGACAAATCTCTGAGTCCATTCATAAAGATCGGTAGCCAATTCCCAGACTGCGTTGGCGTATTCCGGTATTTTAACCATGATGGGGTCCAGCAGTTAGTCTTGAGTGTCTCTGATATCTCTCCTGGCTCCCTTGTGGAGTCTCGTTCACCCAGAGCCATGAAGGACATCATCCGCTGGTCAAACGCAGCCGTCTGTGCCACTCCATCTGGGAGGGGAGGGCATGGGTCGTCCGACCCCAAGCGTTTACGGATATCTTATCTAGAGGCTACAAAGCCAGAGGTTCATAAAGTAGCCAGGCAATTGGGAGGCGACCAGTCTCTCGAACGTGGGTGAAGGATTTGTAGGTCACACAGCCATTGACCAGAAAGCGTACAAGGCACCGTCATCTTAGTTACCTGGGGATCCCACAGAGAGGAATAGGCAGGTAGTTTTATCATTATATGGGATACCCCTGTATAAGGCAAAAACCAGTAGGCAGTCTCAAGATGCGAGGCAAACAGATCAGCCTACCATAGTAGTAGGTAGTGTTCACAGAAACCCCTGCAGGGTTGTACTCTGAACAGTGGCCAAATAAAACAGACTGGGACTCACCCAGTAAATAGAGGTTGCAACAACATGCCTCCATTCAAAAGCACAGTGCAGCACACATATTATTATTATTATGATATTTAAAGAGCGCCGTCAAATTCTGCAGCGCTTTACAATGGGTGGACGATCAGACATGTTGGACACACAGGAACAGAGGGGTTGAGGGCCCTGCTCAATGAGCTTACATGCTAGAGGGAGTGGGGTAAAATGACACAAAAGGGAAGGATAGTATTAGACTAATGACAGTTGCAGAAGAGGAATCAGTCGAGAGCTATTAACAGTTTAATTGATACGCTTTTTTAAAGAAGTGGGTTTTTAACAATTTTTTGAAGGAGTGGAGACTGGGTGAGCATCTAACGGAGGAGGGAAGCGAGTTCCACAGGAATGGTGCAGCCCTCGAGAAATCTTGAAGGCGAGCATCAGAGGTGGGAGTACGGACAGAAGATAGACGTAAGTCTTCAGCAGATCGTAAGGGCCTAGACGGGACATACTTGTGTATAAGGAAGGATAGATAGGTGGGAGCAGCATTATGTAGAGATTTGAAAGCAAGAACCAGAATTTTAAATTGAGCTATATATTTTATAGGAAGCCAATGTAGGGACTGACAGAAGGGTGAGGCATGGGAGGTGCGGGCGGACAGGAAGATGAGCTTCGCAGCCGCATTCATTGTGGACTGTAACGGCGCAAGTTGGGAGCACGTAAGACCACTGAGAAGCGGATTACAGTAGTCAAGGCGAGAAAGGATAGTGGAATGGACCAACACCTTAGTCGCATCTGGCGTTAAGTATGGGCGGATAGAAATGACAGGATTTGGCGACAGATTGAACATGAGGCTTGAAGGAGAGGTCGGAGTCAAAGAGAACACCTAGGCAGCGAGCCTGCATGGTGGAGCTGATGGTAGCACCGTTGACTTGGAGGAAGACAGACACAGGAGTAACAACACTTGAGGGAGGAAAGACCAGAATTTCAGTTTTGGTCAAATTTAGTTTAAGGAAGTAGGCAGCCATTCAGTTAGAAACAGCAGAGAGGCAGTCAGAGACACTAGTCAAGAGGGACGGTGAGAGATCAGGAGAGGACAGGTAGATTTGCGTGTCATCCGCATAGAAATGATATTGGAAGCCAAAGGAGCTAATGAGTTTACCAAGGGAGGCAGTATAGATGGAGAACAGTAGGGGACCAAGGACTGAACCTTGGGGGACACCAACAGAGAGGAGTTGGGAAGAAGAAGCAGAGCCAGAGAAAGAAACACTGAAAGAGCGCTGGGAGAGGTAGGAGGAGCACCAGGAGAGAGCAGTATCTTGTAGACCGATATTGCGGAGGATGAGAAGAAGTTGTTGATGATCAACAGTGTCAAAAGCCGCAGACAGGTCAAGGAGAATTAGGATAGAGTAGTGACCACGAGATTTTGCAGCGAGTAGATCATTGGATACTTTGGTCAGTGCCGTTTTCACAGAGTGCTTAGCGCGGAAACCAGACTGAAGTGGGTCTAGCAGAGAGTTGGACTCGAGGAAGTCTGTCAATCTCGCATACACAATTTTTTCAAGGATCTTGGATGCAAAAGGCAGTAGCGAGATAGGACAATAGTTGGATGGGGAGTTAGGGTCAAGATTGGGCTTCTTTAGAATTGGGGTTACAGTTGCATGTTTGAAGGGCAATAGAAATATACCAGAGGAGAGAGAGAGAGTGAGAATTTTAGTGAGAGGTGGAGAAAGAGAAGAAGACAGAGTACGGATGAGATGCGAGGGAATTGGATCTAGGGAGCAGGTGGTGGGGCGGGAGGACTGGAGCAGAGCAGAAACCTCTTTCAATGTAGCGGGTGCGAATGAACATAGAATAGCAGAGGGAGTGAAGTTAGGGGAAGTATTGTAAGGGGAAGAAGAAAGATGAGATATCTCTTCTCTGATTGTAGAGATCTTGTCAGTGAAGTGAGTTGCAAAGTCTGAGGCGGTCAAGTTAGTTAGTAAGGCCTCACCCTAGGAGCACAGGGTATGAACCCTTAAGTGCTGGCCACAGCCCTGATAGAGAGCGTCCATCAGTTCTCCCACAATTAAGTCAAGGGAGATATGCCTTGAGGCAGGCAGTGTTGGAATCATGTCCAGTAGTTATCCGAGGCTGCAACAGTGGTGTGAGGGAGAGGGGTGATGGTGAGAGGGAGGGGGGGTGATGGTGAGAGAGGGGTGATGGTGAGAGGGTGGGGGGGGCATGGGGAGAGGACTAAATATTTTTTTTTTATTCCCTGGTGGTCCAGCGTGGGCTGCATGGTGGTCCGGTGGGCTACCTGATGGTTCAGTGGCTATTACATCTGGCCTGCAGCTCCGCAGAACTGCAGACTGTGAATCTTGCAAGACCCATCAGAGCATTGCCATGGTAACCCACGGCAATACTCTGATTGGATAGTTCTCGCGAGACTGCAGTTCTCGCACCCGGCAGCATACTGAGAAAGCAGCTGGAACCCCTCCTGGTGTTGGGTCCTCGGTCACTGACAACAAAGTCTGCCCTCAGGCGATTTAGGCAGCCGCGAGGCCCCAGCCAGCGCGAGGCCTTAGGCGGCTGCCTTAACTGCCCAATTAGAGAGCAGCCCGTGTTTTCAATGTTGTACCAGCCAAGATTAGTCTCCTTCCTTCTCCTCCAAGCTAGCATATGAAAGAGTGGGAATGAGTCATGATAATGATACATATCTGGATATCCCAAGCTGTCCTGTTATATACTTCTCTTACGGACTATTTGGTTTTTACAATGCTGGTTGTGATAGACAATTTCATACAGGTCAGAGTAGGTGCTGCTTTGTTATTGCTTGATTAACTATAGGTTCTCTTCATATCAAACTATGATCTTAAAAGATCATATTATTGGAAAGATACACAAAACCAGTATAATGAATGAAGAAATGTATTCTTCCAATGTAGAACTGGCAATGTCCGGCTGACACCAAATGTAGGGTCAAAACTCTGCTGGGTCCACGTTAGTGGAATACATTTCTCTATCCATAATGATGATGCATTTTCCGTTACTTTGCAATGAGACAGCAAACAGAATGGACTCTCTGACTTTCTTTTTATAAATTGCTGTCTCCGACACAACAGATATTTGATAACCCGAACTAATCCTTCCTTGCCTTCTAATAAAAAAAAAAATCTAACCCGATGTCATCAGCTAACTGTATGATATTTTTATTCATTGCATAGAGCTGTATAATTTACTTGGATTTTAAATATAAATTCAAAATAATATCATAAGTGCCACCATTTTATTAAAGAATTATGAAGTTTTACTCAGCCTGAGTCCTGAGCACTGGCCAATACAAAAAAAACTGAGTTTTAAATGATTCACATTAATTGGGTTTAGTCAGCATTTCGGAGCTGGATAACAGCTATTGGAAACGTTTTACATATGGGGCAAGAAGGTCCTGCTGATACAAACTTTCGCTGAATTATTAAAATAAACACAGATGATTATTTAAAAGTACAGACGTATGAAAATACTAGAGTTTGATTAATATATTTCAGGGGTGCTTAAGTATGCAGATAAATTGCATTACCCATAGCTATCCTAATAGTGAAAAAAAAAACTCCTTATTATGTTTGTAAAATGAATTTTTAAATGAATTATTTTAAAACATTTTATACAATGCATCATTTGACACAATGTAAATATTTTGCAAATTATGTTCTCTCCATCTGTAGTAGTTAGAGAGCTTGCAGCACCTCCTAGTGGTATATATTCATTGTTAATAGAGATAAGCTCAGAGCATTCACATATAGTGGGCTATATTTTTTTAATACATTTTTGCGACTTGAACTACAAGAGAAGATCAAAATTATCAGCGTCAACGGGCTCTTAACTGGCTTATCCCATTGAGTCAGTGCTACAACATATCATATACAAATATAAGTTGCCTTAACCTGCCTTCTTATGAAATTAGACACATTTGTGCAATTACAAGCATTCCAAGTTTGTTACAGAGTCAAAATAAAAATTGTTCTTATCTATAGTTGGATTAGTTCTTTAGCAACCCCTTAATACTTGATAATTTTTTTTGACAATCTTTCCGTTTGTTTTGTTACTGTAAAAGAAGATGACAATTGCAAAGTACCACAATTTCAACATTTAGTTTTTTACAGAATGGGAACATATTTGGAGTAAATGCCAGACTAATACTTGCGAGGCAATATAAATGTAATACATTAGTCTGAACAATTTTGTCAAAGTGGAAATATTGATCAACAGATTACCGTAATGGGGTTCTAGTTTAGTTTTTTGTAATACCACTACCACTAGTGATGTCCCGAACGGTTCGCGAACGGTTCGCCACGGACTCATCATTGAGTAAACTTTGACCCTGTACTTCACAGTCAGCAGACACATTCCAGCCAATCAGCAGCAGACCCTCCCTCCCAGACCCTCCCATCTCCTGGACAGCTCACTAAGAATGCAGCTTCAAAATGGATGCTGTCCAGGAGGTGGGAGAGTCTGGGAGGGAGGGTCTGCTGCTGAATGGCTGGAATGTGTCTGCTGACTGTGAGGTACAGGGTCAAAGTTTACTCAATGATGAGTTCGTGGCGAACCGTTCCCGGCGAACCGTTCGGGACATCACTAACTACCACCCGTGACTTTCCCTTGTGACTCAACAACACTAAAGGTGAAAAAGAAAGGAAAAGAAAAAAGCAAGAATATTGAGAATGAAGATAGGGAGAAAGGATGTAAGGGAAGAACAAAGAAAAAAAAAAGTGGGGGAGTGGAGAATGGGGGGATATTATCCACTGCCCAAAACAAAGAATCCCATCAAAGCCCCTCAATTAGCCACTAGGACCACTACAGTCTCCATTGCCCCTAGGAGGTCCACCTCAAGCTTCACCCTTAAAGATAGCATCCAGGGGAGGGTCCCAGGCTCATCGATACGTCAAGTTGGTAAAAGTGAATCATCCGATAGTGACTGAACAGCGGTTCCATTACAGCTACACTGAACCTTCTGGGACCTGCTCTCTACAAGACATATAGTCTCTCCAAGGAGCTCTTAGTTGTGCACACTGCTCTGACATTCCATGAAGAGATGCAGTTAGAGTTTCCATGTCATACAATTCTTCCACTTTGTTCATCCACCGTCGAGTTGTAGCAATATTTAATGTTTAACAGTGTTTTTCTGGTTTCAAGTATATTATGATCATGTCTATATTCTGATAATCTATAATGCCTATAGACAGTTCGTTGACTCATTCTGTCTATAAGTCATATTCTACACATAGCTATTGAAATTACAATCCAAGTGCAGTACTAACTGTAGTTGAAGCCCGTTTTTGTAATCTATAAAACAAGATTTAATACAAAGAGCAGATTAATGTTATAAATCACCATAATTTCATTTGGGGCAGAGAAAAATCAATGGTTCATGAGATTGATTGTTACAATCTACTATGGCACAACCAGAGGTACTCATTTTTGCATGGTCTGCAGGGTTATACCTTCCCACACAGTTCTTGGGTGGTCATGTTGTAGGAGAGTATATGGATCATTCTGAATATTTGTCCAATAAATCATCAGAGAGTGGAGCTTTTTCTGCAATTCTTTGTTTGATGCTCATTTGGTTTCAAACAAGGCATCAGATAAAAAAAACCTTAAAGCAGAGACTGCTTGTGTTCTTTTACTTTAGCTTGTCTTTTGTCACAAAATTGTAAAACCAGAATGTAAAGAACATTTACGATCCCATGAAAATATGGATGTAATTTGTTTAAATCAGTTAATTATTCAGCACATGTTTATTATTATATTGTTAAAAGTAGAATATATTAGAACAAAAATAAACAGCTATCAATAGACGTAAACATAAAAAATGAAGCCAATGAGTCGCTGAGAAGTTAGAAAAATGAGTATTCCCTACTGATTATGTTATTTTATTTCTTTCTTTCTCTTCTAAGAACACCCATGGGATGAGATAAATATATTGCTGGGAGTGCTTTTTATAAACTTTCTGCCTGCTACTGCTACAGTAAGTCAGTTTAAGATGTAGATGTAAAAAGATGGAAAATATTTATTTTCAGGCAACACAAAAAAGGAGTATTCTAATAATGGTTTTGCATCTTATGTCAGTATAAAATAGACCTTTACTGGTGAATTATTCAAACATTTTTTAAACATTGCAGTGGTAATGCCTTAAAATAAGCAAAAACATATATCGTAAAAAAAAAAAAATATCCCTGGAGAGTCCCTCTTTTCCAGCATATTTGTTAGGCAATCCATAACCAACAAATGGTGGTAATGTAAGACTTCTCCTTTCTGTATATCGTATCACACATATGTAGCAATTTCTCATTAAAATGCATTAAATTAATTAAACATTTTTAAAGTCTCCTACATGCTCACACATGGAAAATGATACCACCTAGAGTAACCGCACAAACCATTTGGAGGTGTTAAACCCTAAGGCTTATTATATAGATACACATTTGGCCCAGGTAACATTTACTGTGGACTCCACACTTGTTCTACTGTGGATGAGTTTGGGGAATTAGTTTGTGCACCCTTTTATGTCCACCAGCTCCTTTGGCCAATGCCCTTGACACAAGTTACTTTACAGATATGGTACAAATAAGCCCATGGCCTATTGTATCAACTCCACCTAATGTCAGTATCTCCACTAGATACATTTGGCTTCCTTGCAAGAGACATCATTTTGAGTAGGTGGCATGCATCGAAAAAAAACCTAATATATCATACATATTAGGATAATGCATCTCCATATTCTAGTCTGGGAATTTTAACTACAGCATAGGGTACTAGTTCAGTATCTAAGGGTGAAACATGTCTACTGTCCCAGGATAGAAAGTTTAGAATTTCCTGCCCCACCACATTTACACATAAGGCAAGTCAGGTGGAATCAAACTTACCTTATATGATTAGTTGGAAGAAGAAGCTGGGTGCTACCTATACCTTTCCTATCGGCGATATCAGTTTTGGAACCCATTTGAGCCATAGTGATAGTGACAATTTTGTTGTAGCTAACATTATGACTTTACGTGGATACTGTTCTTTCAGGACCCAAAGTAGATCTGTTATTAAATGTGGGGCACTTATTTCTTGTTTTAATATATACCATTGGGGGTGGGAGGGGGGTAGATGTAGTGCCTGCTCTTGCTGTCTGCGACAGGATAGATGCTACATAATACTTTGCCTTTATGGCATTGCAAGAACTTGTCAAGGAAACCCTCGGAGGCTTGCATTTCCATTTATATGCATTTATCGTCTGTTGGTATTTCTTTAAAAGTGCTATAGAGATTTAAATCAGTAGTGTTCAAAATAGAAACAAAATTTGTGGTAATACAAGCATTTTCAATGCATTAATCCGTCCTAACCACAAAGTCCTAGTCCCACACCAACCCTCTAACGTTTGGGATATTTTAGTCTGTAGTTTGTAATGGTTTTGCTTCAAAATTATATATGATTTGAAAATGACAAGAGTGTCCATAAATAAGCTATAGTGTCTTTTCTCCATTCAAAATCATACAAGGCCTTTAATTCATTCAGTTGGTGATGAGGAATATTTACAGGAAGCAACTGGGTTTTGGCCGAGTTATTTTTATAACAAGACACTTTGCCATATGCTTTGAGGAGCGCTAATAATAAAATATCTTCTGCAAATACAGCAATTGTTTGGTTGCCTTTTAGTGTAGGGACTTCCTCTATGTCCTTATCTTGTTTGAGCCAATAAATCAAAGGTTCTAATGCTAAAATAAAGATTAAGGGTGACAGGGGGAGCTCTGCCTCCTGCTGTTTGTAAGTAAAAGAAATTCCAAGATAAAAACCTGTGTTTAACACCCTAGCTGATGGTACAGAGTATAAAGACAGTAACCCCTGCAAGAACTTACATGGAAAGGAATATTTTCTTAGGACCGCAGTCATATACCCCCAATAAAGATGATCAAAGGCATTCTCTGCGTCTAATGCAAGAGCAAGGCCAGGCCTATTGTTAGATGTCATTAGTTCAAAAACATTCAGTGCTTTCTGCGTATTGTCCTCAACCTGTCACCCTGGGGCAAACCCTCCTTGTTCAGGGGATACTAAAATGGACAAAAGAGGTCTTACTCTATAAACCATTGCTTTGGCAAAAAAATTTATATCCGTATTTAATAATGCTATCTGGCGGTAGTTTGCACATATTATAGGTGATTTTTTAGGGAGTGTGATAATAGTTGCCTGCAACATCTTTGGTGGTAGATAACCCGACTCCAGAATATTATTAAAAAGTACAGTCAAATGAGGTATTAAAAGGTCTGCAAATTTGGCATAATAATAGGTTTAAAAAAAAGCCGTCTGGTCCTGGTGTTTTATGTTTCTGAGTTTTCTTTAATACCTGAAAGATCTTATCATTTGTAAAGGGCCTATCTAAATCTTCTAATTGCTCACAAGACAACTTAGGCAACTCTACCCCATCTAGGAAGTCAGATATTTCCCGGTTTGTTGGTTTATACTGATCTGGATCTGAATTCAGATTATAGAGAGTTTCGTAAAATAAAGCAAACTCATTGACAATCATTTAAGGATTAGTCAGTTTAATTTTAGCTTCTGTAAGTATATGGTTTATTTTAATGTGATAAGCCTTGTATTTTCATTGTGAGGCCAAGTGTCTACCTGCTCTATTTCCCTGTCTATAGTAATCGCATTTTAATTTTCTTAATGCCCTTTCCACTTGTTGAAGTTGTTGAGTTTCAACCTCTGATCTTAACTTCTAGAGTGATTCCATGCTCGAGGCATTTGGTTGTAATTTATGTTGATTCTCTGCTCTTTTTAGATCAGCCATCAAATGTATTGCTTTTATCTATGATTTTACATTTTAGATGGGAGCCTTGTTTTATTAAAAGTCCCTGTATCACTGCATTTTGGGCAAGCCATGTAGTAAAAACATTTGTTAACTGGTAAGGATTATCCTCAAAGAAATTCATTATAGTTGTTCTGATCTCCTCTCTGTATTAGTCAGTTGCCAATAAAGACACATTTAAGTGCCATAAGCTCTAAAGAGGAGTAAATGTAATCATTATTGAAGAGTGATCAGACCAAGTTATAGGCAAGATATTAACATCCACTAATGTATCTAAGGAATTTCTATCTATAAGACACATATAAATTCGCGAATACTGGTCGTGAACTTTCGAATAATAAGTGTAGTTCCTAGTAGCAGGGAAAAGTGACCTCCAAGTATCGTACTGGTCAAAGCTCTGCAAGAGATCAACCATTTTTCTGCTCAAAGCCGTGCTCCGTAATGAAGCCATGGCATTCACAGACCTATCTAAATCTGGGTCCAGAATACAATTTAAATCACCACAAATAAGCAGTTTTCCCTGTTTTAGTTTGTCTGTCTTCCTAAAAGCCTTTTGTAAAAAAGCATATTGGTTTGAATTTGGAGCTTACATATTGGCAACTGTGAATTTTACATTACTTAGGTAACCCACCAAAACTAATATTCTTCCCTCTATAGCCTTATACTCTTTTTCACAATGAAACACCCAGTCAGAATGAAATAAT